AAGCAGTGGTATCAACGCAGAGTACTCGATTTTTGCAAGTTTTCTGCTTTTTTAGGGAACATCTCAAAGTTATTCTGATTTCTGCGTCGAATACTTGGGGATTGTTCCTTCTTGTTGTTCTTTTGGGTTACGGTTTGGTCGAACTTCCCCGCAGTTTGTGGCAGAGAGGGAAAAGAGGTATTTGAACTGTCATGTAAGTGTCTTTTTATGAACATCTGTTCAGATTATCTTCTCAACAAAACCTATTTCAATCTCGATAAAATGTCCGGCGACAAGAGTGAAGCGGAAGAAGGCATAAAGGAGACCTACAGGTTATTTATTTATGTACTTATAAGTTCTTTGGAACCGGTTTCATGCACTAAGTCTTGCCCTTTTTCCTATCAAGCTGCTTTACCAGCTTTTTGCTCTGGTCGTGTACTTTTCACGAATGGATCACAACTTGCGCACATTTGTCCTGCCTTAATCATATATATATATATATATATATATATATATATATATATATATATATACATATATATATATATATATATATATATATATATATCGCATGTTCTCAAGAGATTTGAAATGGGAAAGCTTCGTTATTTGTCACCTTGTCGCCACTATTAGGAAGTGATCGGGACTTGCAGTGACCTATCCCAATTATCATGATTCCGTTGAGAAGCAGTTTCTTACTTTGTCGCCTCACTTACCCAACTATTTTGAGTTCAACCATTTTGAGTGCAAGAAAGTACCTGTTTTTGCTCAGCAAACTACTGCAGATTTGGAGAAATGGTATATCCGAGGGGTCATATGGTGGACGTTTGATGGGAAAGGTTTAACGCAAGCTCTTATAAGCCCTTATCAGTCTTTTGTCAACGAAGTTCAGAAATTTCTAAGTGAGCAAATGAGCCTGTCCCTTGATAGTGTGGCCTTGGTAGTGATTTTTGCGTCTTCGCGAGACTCTTACCTCAAATTGACAATATTTCGATGACTCTGTTCATTTTACAAAGTTTGACAATTTGTCGGAGTGTCTCAACTTAAAGTCGTTCAGAGAGGCCCGCGCAGTTCTAAACCTTCTCAAGAACGAACATGGATCGCGAGAGAAAGCACAAATCATTGTTTCAGAATTCCCTGAGGAGGTTTGTCTGATAAAGATTGCTTTTATCAGAGAACCGCAAAAGCCTTTTTTCCAGGTGATCGACGAGATGTTCCCTGCTCGGAACGCTACGGAGTTTAGTAGTCTCAACGCTGCTGATTTACGATCTGTAAATTCTGAAAAGTATTTGGTCAGTTCTTCTGGCTCAATACAATTTGCCGCGTATTTGTACATATCAAGTTTAGATTCGGCTTCACAAGCGAGTCATTTCAGCAGTTCAGTATCATCACAGAACTGCGGCCCAATGGAGGTAGTATTCGACTTCTTACTTATCTTCTACCTCGCCCGGAATGTTACTAGAATCTCATTGATTTAGTTCTCTCATGAAACAAGCGTTACATCTGGAGGATATATCCCAAGCTGAGTTTTCCGGTGTTTTGGGAGGAGACACTTGCTCTGCTCTACCAGAGAGTTTGCGCTACTTCTGGCTCGTCACTGCTCAGAAACCTATGTGCATTGTAAGTGGAAGCATCATGCTGTATAGTCAGGGCTAATTTTGTTGTCATTTAGATGCTTGCCATCTTGCTAACTGGGATGACCATCATGATCTTGATCAGTGAATGTACGTTCTTCATTGTGAATCCGACGTTGACACCTGCTGGCATCATTGTTGACTACACCGCAAGGCGTTTCCACTACAAATACACGCAGGTACAACACAACAATCTTTCTCTAAGTTTATTCATGTGTGATATACTTTAAGATAGTGGCGGTTGCTATAATTTGCTACTTGTGCGCATGTGCTTATTTCACTGTTTTCCGACTGAAAATTTACCAGTATTATCACTTGGATCCAAACAAGCACACGGATGGAAATAGCTTACTATTCAGTGCAATGTGAGTTCGTTTTATGAGACTAGGAAAATCGGTACAGCTCTCTGCTTCTTTGCCTCAACATTCTTTTGTGTCCAATCTGATTTTGAGACTTCTAGTCATTGTTGATGATATCATTTCCTCTCGGTTCATCATATCTACTTTTGGCTAATCATGTCATAATTAATGTACAAATATTGCTTTCAAACTCCATAGAGATGGTAGTTCATTTGAGACTCTAGAGCTGTTGGTATTATGTCAAGTTGTAGTATCAACCAGAAATTCTTTCAAAGTACCGAAATTTCACTTTTTTCTTCGTGTCTAAGCTTGAGGAGCTAACTCAATACATTTACGCATTGCTTTTTAGCTTACTTTGTCGCTTAACTCCTCCACTTTGTTTGAATTTCCTTGGAATGATTCACTTGGATTCACATATAACGAGAGTCAAGGACATTGGTGTAGAAACTCAGTTTACGAAGGTTTGCCGCGTCTTTATCCATTGCTAATTCCTGATGCTGATTTGAAATGTTCAGCTTATGGGACACCTTGATGTCATTCCTATATTAGCAAAGGGAATCAACATATATCTCCCAATATGTATTCTTATTCTTTGCGCAGTCACATATTACAAGTGAGTATGAGTAAAAAAAAATTCTGTCGGGGTGTTGTTGCTGTGATTAGTTTGTGTACGAAATTCTTAGGCTTGGCTCGATCGTTCTGCACAACTTGGGATTCGATCAGTTTGTGATGTCGGATGAGTTCACCCAAGACATGGTTTCTGCTGGTCGTTCACTTGTGCAGTTGGAACGCAGCTCCTTCAATAGACAAAAGGAGCGCCAACGAAGAGAGGAGGAATGGTCTGGTCGATTGGGTTGGTGGTCGATCAAGTCATCTTTTTTCTTTACTGTGGCAAAATATCTTGAATAATTATTGCGAACAGATAATGTTGTGCGTCTTGTTCTTCGTCGATCTTTTCTCCTCCGAGATTGTTTCTGTTCAGGAACGCGTCGTTTTGGTCGTCGACGCCCTCGCGAGGACGAGCAACCGATCATCTCCGCCGAGGAAGGAACTTCCGAGCATGATTCTTGGGTACTTCCGCCTCCTGTCAGTCATGCCAGTTATACCAGTGAAAGTGTCAGAAAACCGCATCCATCTCCAAGCAATATCTTTGATGACATGTAATCTCTCTTTCACATGCCATAATATACTTTAGTTGATTTTATTTTCTTATATCGAAGCTTTTCATCGTCATATCTTAGCTTTTGAGCTAGACTAGTCTCGGTTTTCCGTTCTTTAGCCTGTGATCGTGTTGTGTTTGTCGTTTGGGTAATTTGAGCATCTCATTCCTGTGCTTCTTTCCTCTTGTATTCGCTGAGCTCTCTTGCTCTACTAATCTCATTTTTGTTGTTGATAGTTTTAATTTTCTATTTTGCCGACCGAATAAAGTCTTTACTTAGCCTTCACACTACACAATAGGATGGATTCCTTTGCTTTTCTTTCGTTGCTCTTTAAAAACTACGTATTATGATACCTTAAATAAGATGTCGGAGCAAGAGCGGCTGGAGAACTTGTTTGGAAATCCGTTTCGAAATTCTTCCCCCACGCCGCATCCGAATAGACCTGAGAAGGTACATCTATCAGTACGTCCACTTTTCGACATTTTTTAGCTCTATTAGCACAGAAGTTGTTGAGGTTACTATTGATTTCGTTTAGGAATTTGTGTATAGACCGTCAGCATATGTACAAATGATTGATCAAATGATTGGTTCTCGAACTCGGCCGTGGAATCCTGAGAGGACACCAATACGTCCGAAGCAGGTGTTTCTCGACTTTTTGTATTTGAAATAATCTGAAATGGAGTCACCGGTTCGCCTTTTGGGCAACTAGCTCATCCAATAGTCTTTTATTTGCTACTAGCAAAAAAAAACTGTTGAAGTCATTTAGTCATTTTAGTTGATTAAAAATCATTTTCCTAATTTTTTACAGATGCTGACATTGCCCGAAATGACCCGAGAAGAGCTGATGATTTCGCGAGCAATGGAAAATTGTGCAGTCAAATCCGCAATAGCTGGAGTTCTCGGCGCTGCTGTCGGTTCGCTTTTTTTGCTATTTATTTGTTTTTGTGTTGCTTCAAAATTGCGTTTTCAGGTGTTGCTTTCGGTCTGTTCACTGCATCCGTTGATCCTTCTTTGAGTATGGTTGGCAATGATCCCACAAAACAGGTTAATACTGATGAGGCGTACTTCCGCCATTTGAGAGGATTCTCAACAATTTATCTCTTTTCAGCTGACTATAAAGGAAACATGGAAGGAAATGAGCTCAAGAATGAAGTCATACGGGAAGAACTTTGCTACACTTGGATTTTTGTTTTCTGGTAAGACTGAAGTTGAGGGTACGAATGTCTACCACTTAAATTCACAGGCACTGAATGCATACTGGAAACTGTACGTGCGAAGAGTGACTGGAGAAACGGAACATACTCTGGAGGTAAGAATAATGTGTACCATTTCCACTAACGTTATTTGTTGCTTCAGCAATCGTTGGAGCCCTTTTCGGTCTACGTGCTGGTATAAAACCTGCTATGTGGGGTGCTGCCGGCTTCGCTGCATTCTCGACTGTCATCGACTATTATATGAAAGGATTTTGATTTCTTTGCAGTTTTTGTTACTTCTGAAGATTGTTATTTATTGTTATACACTACTTTGACTTAGAGAATTCAATCTACGGGTACATAGCAAGGAGTGTTAGAGTCTGTCAAAAGCTATGATATTGTGAAAGAGTAATGCATGAGGCATCTTGATGAGATGATTCAGCGAATGAAATTTTGCCTTCACATCTAGCATTGTCAACACAGGAAAACAGCGAGCAAGGCATGGTCCATCCCACATGGGGTCTTGAGCTTTTTGACACTTTACTGTAGTAAGTCCCCCTATATATCGCTGCCCAAGTCGCGACGCAAAATGTCGCTTCGGAAGCGAGGAAATCGCTTCGGAATGACGAAGAAGCAGAGCACTTCCTCGGCACCGCCCACCCCCCCCCCCCCCTCCAGTAATGCCCGCCCATCCTTGCGCGCCCATCCAATCATCGTTCCGAAGAACTGGTCTGCGGGTTCTCCGGAACGGGGATTGTCGGAGTTTTCGCGGATTCTCGACTTCATATTCAGAATCAGGGACATGAGAAGGCCCCGGAGCGACTAGAACATGGAAATCCAGAATCTGGGTGGACGATGCCGTTAAGGATGATCCTAAAGCAAAGATTATGCGAAGATAGTAACCAGTGCTAAATACAGCAATTCTCTATGTGTAACATACTTTGATTTTCTTGGTGTAATCATGAAGCCATCAAAAAACAATAATCAGTAAATTTCGAAAGCCAATTCAAGCTGTTCCTCATTGTTTGTAACTATCCTCGCTGCTATACCGAGTAATCCAACGTTTATTTCGAAGACCGCTCCGGATTTTTTTGCAAACATGTCTCTGTTTGCGCTCTGAATTACCTAACAATAACTTCATCTGCAAAGAGGCACCAAATGCAAAGCTTTCTAATTTGTGGTAAATTATTATTTGGAATGCAAGTTCGGGCAAATTATGCTCTTGCGCGGAACTAATAGTAGTCAAGAACGCAGTGCTGAAGCGATATCTCTTAAAATCATGTTAAAGAGGAAATTGACTCTAAAATTCGCCCAGTACCGCAGGAAGGCGCTGATTGGTCCAGGTGGAAAGAGAGCGGTACTGAGTCCATGGGCAGAAAGCTTGTGAGCTAGCACTAAAATAATGCTTTAGCAAAATTTTTCCAATTAATTTACAAAGAAACGCAGGTACTCAGAAATGCGTGGGCCTTCAACTAGCCAAAATTGCCAGCTATTATATAAAACATTTAATGGAACTTGTGGATTGTTGGTTACAGAATTCAAAAGATTCTGAATTAGATTTAGTTGACTTCCAATGGATTATATTTATCTCTTTTAGAATTTTTTTAGTATAAAAACAAATGCTAATACTTTTAGAGCAACCTCTAAGCGGTAATTCAAGGTTAGCCTTGAATAAAAAAGACGAAAAACACTGACACGCTTGACATACATCCTGTTCATCAAGGCAAACACAGCCATGAACGTGGTGCCAGCTGCTGAGCTAAGCAATGATATTTGTAAATCAAATATTGGAGGCTCTGGACATAGAAACGCGAGGACGAGTGTCTTAAATCAAAGGCGAATACGGAAGGGAATTTCAAGCTTTTTCTAATGCTTCAAGAATGAACAATTTGTTGAGGGATTTTTCAACGAAACTATTAGGTTGAACCGAAAGTTCTGTCGCACCATTTTCAAAAATTCATAACTTCTGATTTTTCCAGCCGATTTGAATGCTTTTATTTTTGCATGGAAGGGTAAGTCATGCTCTTTATAGTGACTTCTTAGCAACTTACTAATGATCATGTGTTGCATAGATAGGAGCGGTAGAAGAAAATCAGTCAAAATTCGAATTTTCTGTGTAGAGTCATAAAAAATCGGAAACTTGCAGCAAAAATCGGGGCACTTGGTATTGTAGGTTCTTTCACTAGCTCTTTCTAACAGTGCATAGTTTGGCTGATTGAGCGTCTCTGTGAAAAGTTATGATTTCCCTGAAAAAATGCCAAAATAAATCAAATTCGCTCTTTTGTATTACTTGCTCGAAAATCGTAACTTTTCATAGAGACGCTCAGTCCGCGCAAACTTTGCACTGTCGAAAGAGTTGGTGAAAGAACCTACAATACCGACTGCTCGATTTTTGCTGCAAGTCTTTGTTTTATGACTCACAGAAAATTCAAATTTTTTTCGAATTTTGACTGATTTTCCTCTACCGCTCCTATCTATGCAACAGATGATCACTAGCAAGTAGCTAAGATGTTTTTATAAAGAGCATGACTTACCCTTCCATGCAAAAATGGAAGCATTTAAATCGGTTGGAAAAATCAGAAGTTACGAATTTTTGAAAATGGTGCGACAGAATTTTGGTTCAACCTAATACTTGCCCTTTGATTCATATGTAACAGAGCAAAGGAAAAGAATAGGTATCTCTCAGTGGCGGACCGAGGGGGGAGGGTTTATTCTTGTAAACAATCGAGATAAATTTTCAAATTTTTTAACAATTCAAGTAAGCCACGTGAAAAACAATTTTCGAAGTGCCTGGCCAACCCTGCACATCTTCATTTGAATTTTCTGCGACCGCCACTGGTATCTACTGATTGACAGATAATTTCCGGGACTTTTTCTTTCCTAAAATTCCAAGATCTTTCGATAGCCAAGACAAACACCATTTTCATGGCTAAAGGTCTACTTCCTATTCGTCCCCATCATTCGGGTGCGATTTGGGCGATGTGCCAAAAATTGGAAAATGGAAATCGGACACGTTGCCGGGCTGCATGGTGCATGGAGAAAAATGGTGCAATATTACTGCAAAAAAATATTTATGTGGATCTCAGAATCGCATAGAAGTCTTTGGTGTCTCTAAAACAAAGTTGATTGATAAAAATCACGGCACCTATGATTCAAGTTTTCAATATACGCCTATCACATTGCACAGTAAAACTTTGGAAAATCTTAAAGAAATTAAAAGAATTAGGAAGAGATTATATTCTTTTATTTGATCTCAAAATATTCTGCGAGGGTCAAAATACCAAAAAGGAAAATATTACATGCGTATGATGGATTCTTGAAGTCTTGCTATGCATGCATTTTCATTCTCGTGTAAGCATTAAAATTGCTTTCAGCGATCAGGATGGTCAACCAAGGTCACATCACAAGTGTTTCTGTTGTTTTCCTTCCAAATAGCGAGATGTCCACTTTATTTGTAGGTTGGGATGGGCGTGCAAGGTTACTTAAAATCGAAATTATTTGAGTTACCAGCAACGCGCTCACATTCCCATCAATCGGAAGGCAGAATCCTCCCGAAATGCTTGTTTCTGTATTTCTTTTCGCGACAGTACTTTTGACTGTAGATGCCAAGTAAGTGTTAAATACTACCCTAATTTCAGAAGTAAAGGCGCACTTTCTTTTTCAAACTCGACCTTGAACACACTCAAAAAATTTGTGACCAAATGTTCCTCTATCGTGCTGCTCCTTACAACGTTTCTGCACATTTTACATTCGTAGCTATAGAATCTGGAGAAGTTATGAGCAAATTTGTCACATGGAAATCCTGTGTTCGTTGCTGGGCCAAACTGCAGTCTGCTTCATCGTGTTTACGCTTGCATATAAGAAAATGCATTTGATGTTCATATTTATGCTCAAGTATATGACTTCGCAAAAAAATGCTCCTCTAACAGGCATTTTATTCTACTACTTGGTAGTTGCTTAAAACCGCCGAAAGTATATCTCTTCAGCAAGTTGGAGATACGTAGGATCACTTACAGAACTCCGTTTTTTCGGTTCAAATTTCTTTGAATTTTTGTTGAGACTCCATCTGTATCAACCTTTGTGCAGTTGATCAATGCCATCTTTTAGAGCTTGGTTTGCTCTGTCGCATAACTGGTTTCTAAATTTTTTTGGCTTAGCCTGGTATTTTCAGTTAAGCCCTGGGAGGAATCAGTACATAATTACAGATTTAGGGTACATGTTACTAAAACAGAATACTATTATATTTTATCTTTCTATCAGAGTGTGGCAAGTGCAAACCGGAGCTTACTGTAATGATCTTGATCTAACAAAGTCGTATATCTATGTCCTGAACTGCTAAGAATCACTACACCAAAAGAGTTATCAGCGTTAGCCTTGAACATTCGCTTAGGACCATAAAATATGTTCAGCGATACTAAGAGATCGGTATCAACGACACGATGGTGAACTAATACAGTATTGTCTGATAGCAAAGTATTTTGTCAAGTCAGCAATCATAATGGTATTTTTTCCTTCAAAAGTTTATGGCTCTCTTACAATAATGTTGAACACCATATCATTAGTCACAACAATGATTTTCTTAGTGCAACGAAAGGCGCTTTCATGCATCTGGGATTATTTGCTATAGAATGTCACGAGTGGGGTGTTTTGGACTTAATATCTTGATTTGTAATTTACGCTGCAGGGCTCGGCACAGGTGGCTTACAAGCAAGCTGGATATCGTTTTTGGGACGAAAAGCAAAGGGGGTTTCGTTTTTGTGAGCGAAGATATACGGAAAATTGACGTCGGCGACCTTTTTTTTTAGTCGACGTTTCGTTTTTTGGGGGATTTTCGGGAATTTTTCAAGTTTTTAGAAGAAATTTGGTTCAGGGTCAAAGGGGACTTCGTAAAAATTCCCAAAAGTCAAGGGGGCTTCGTTTTTTCCATTTTCATCTAGCCACCTCGTGCCGAGCCCTGTTACGCTGAGCACAAGCTCAGATGTTCTCAGATTGGTTTTCTGAGGCCTCTTAATGCAAGAGTGCAACAACATGCTAATGTTATGAAGAAGCGCAAAGCAATGAAAAATTTCAACGACGATTTTGGAATGTAGCATTTTTATCCCTATTTTATTGCATAACACCAACAACTTATGTTTTACATGTAGCTCCAAAAGTAATGAAGCACATTTTGTGTACTTGCAATACATTTTGTGTACTTGCAGCAAGCATATCTTACTTTTGAAAAGATAAAAGAGTATAGAGATGTACCGATAATTTCGTCATGATGATGTGCCAAAATCAAGAATACTTGGAAAACAATGCAATACATCCGCCACCAAGACTTCCTAACGTCAAAATACTTTAACTGATTAACACAAGGTTACTGGAGGTCAATTTTGATTATTAGCTCAAAGTTAACACAATAAATTATTCGACCTAGACGGTAATTATGTTTTGCAGAAATTACTGTAATGCGCTGCTTATGTATAACCTTGAAAATAGCGTCCAAGATTTAGCGTTCCATTTGTTATTCTGGGGCTTTTTCGTGTCCTGATTAGATTATCTGCTTTGGAAATGTCACGAGTGGGGTGTTTTGGACATAATTGGGGATCATCTTGGTTTATCTAGCTGAGCACGATTGATGTTCTCAAAGCTTTTCCCCATTTTCCAAATCTCTTAAGGCAAGAGTGCAACGACATGCTAACGTCATAGAGTAGCGCAGAGCAAAAATTTTGAACGACAATTTTGGAACGTAGCATTTTTCCCTATTGTTAGCAAGTACAAAGAATTTATTTCTATAGATACTAAAGTACAGTTACCATTAGCAGATTTCACTGACAGGAAAATGTGCAAAATGTGCAAAATGTGCAAACCCTAAAACCCGATTTTTGAAGCCCCTATCCTGAAGGCACAGACGACTTTCAGTAGATGAGTGGGCGCAGCTTGTTAGGGCAGACATGATTTGATACCTCAAAGGTTCCGTAAGCTAGGAAAGCCTGCTCGTGCGATTAGACATGAAATGCTTCACAGTCACGTAAGGGCGATTTTGGCCTGAAAAACACAAATATATGTAAATGCGATAGCACTTATTGTATTCAATGTTCATGTGCAGAGAAGAAAGTCTAGAGAGGAGAAAGACGCATCGCGGTAGTGGTTTCTTCGAAGCTGTACGCCTCACTTTTGGAATTCAATAGCTTCAAACATACTAGGAAAATCTAGCCCAAACTGAATTTTCATTTAATCAATCGAGCCAACCTGAATTTATTTGGATTGGGAAGAAGTTGTAACGAGCATAAGATAGATGAATCAAATAAGTTGTTTGTAATCAGCAGTTAAATTCTACTTGTTTTCAGTATACGACCAAAGCGACAAAGCCTACTCGGCGGACTCATCCAGACACTCACCAACCCTCTCGGTGTAGGATACAATCAGGGTTACGGATATGGATACGGTCAGCAAGGTTATAGTGGTTACGGAGGACAGCCGTATGGTAACTATGGCGGTTATGGAAGCCAAGGATATGGAAATTACGACGGCTTTGCAAGGCAAGGCTATGGCAGCTATGGAACGCAAGGATATGGTAGCCAGGGTTATGGTAACCAAGGCTATGGTCAGCAAGCTTATGGCCGACAAGCTTACGGTCAGCAATATGGTAATTATGGCGGGCAAGGATATAGTAATTACGGAGGACAAGTTTATGGACGTCAAGGCTATGGCAACTATGGAGGATACAATCAGCAAGGATACGGTCAGCAGGGATACGGTAACTATGGCGGACAAGCTTATGGACGTCAAGCCTACGGAAACTACGGAGGACAGGGTTACGGACAGCAAGGTTACGGTAATTACGGCGTTCAAGCTTACGGACGTCAAGGCTATGGCAATTATGGAGGACAAAGATATGGTCAGCAGAGCTACTATGGCCGTCAAGCTTATGGACAACAGTACGGTAACTATGGTGGACAAGCTTATGGCAGACAAGGATACGGTTATGGAATGCAAGCCTATGGACGACAAGGATATTATGGTGGACAGGCTTACGGACCACAAAGTTACGGAAACTACATGGGTCAGGCTTATGGACGACAAGGATACGGTGGCCAGGTGTACGGTAGACAGGCGTACTATTATGGAAAATAGAATGGGATTTATTGTGCTAGAATATTTGCATTTGTTTTTATTGAATGGTGCAAACCTCTTGTACTACCACGCATTTTCCATTTTAGGTGACGATTGCTAAAACTCGTTTTATTCTTTAGAATGTGGAAGTTTGTTGATAAACTTGCGATTTGCAATATGTTTACTCAATCTCGCTGATGAGAATGACCGCACGCAGAGACTGGGTGCCGTTGCGTCCGGTTAAGATAGCTGTTTTTTAGAGATACCAGGCGGATACTTGAGATGCACTTGGTTCAGGAGACGCAGACGGCGTCTGCACTGGTACCCTTCTCTGCGTACAACGAATCGCCTTTACAGACCAGACTAACTGTCCTTTAAGTAATCAAGCAACTTCATTAATTCGCCCAGTTTAAAAGGTGTGAAATACCAAGCCGTTAATGCTAATCTCCATAACGGATTCCAAGAAGGAACTATTAGAAACATTTATAGGTAGCATCAAACAAATACATATGTTACAATCAAATCTTTGACAATATGAACTAATCTTACAAACTTTAAAGTGCTCTTCACCAGTAATATGAGGCTTGTGCAAGAGGAACAATCGGTTACTACACTATAAGTTAGCACTAAAATTCTCATAACGTAATATACAAGGGAGGCTCCCTATCATGGGAGAGGAAAAGGTATATAATCTGGCTTTACGACTTGTCGGGTATCTTGTCAGGTAAGAGATCAAGAAGATTATCCTCTATGCTCATTTCCTTGAATCACGCGTTGATCTGGCATTTGTTTGTGAAGATGGACTAGGTGATGGATTCCGAGATTTAGGCGTTCCTAGAAGCTGCGAGTATAATTTAAATTAAAATTCAGCGGAAATGAGTTCAATCACGTTTTGGACCTTTCGTGGCAGAAATTTATGAATAAAAGCACTCATGCCTCTTTGAGTATAATGAAATTTTTTGGTATATTGTAAGTGTTTACCCTTGTGCTACACTCTTTCTCTTCAACTCCACTTGAAACGAGAACCATTTAGTGCACATTATTTGTTCCAATAAAAAAAGCAGGAACTGCATGAGCAAGAAATACTGCACTATCCAAAAGGGTATTTTTCACCGTAATAGCCTTTCACAATTATGGATGAATTCAAACGTTTTTACCTTCCGCTCGTTCCCCTTCCCCTTCCTGTGTAACATGTTGTGTTGCTGTAGGGATTACGAAATAAGGAAGTGAGTTTTGGCATTTTTGTTTACACCTTCACGTCTCCCAGGCTTCACCACTTCCTAGCACTGTGAAGCTGCGACCTCACAGACATTGTGGGAAACTGTAAATCCCAAACGAAAGTGATAAGTGGTTTAGTATTATCCTTGAGAGCGGAAGAGGAAAATGTACTGTTTGTTGATCAAGATAAAATTGTCTACCAAGTCAACTGGCTTCTATAGAACGTCTCCAAACTGTGAAGTCTGTGACAGCTTAAGAGCAGGGACTCAATTGATCAGCCATACATAAAGGTTGGTTCTTGCATGTAAAGTTCGCAGAAAGGGGAAACGACACCACTTATTTTTTCCATCAGTTTTTAACTGTACGTATACAATAATCTTTGACCATGTGTGTTATTTGAGCTCAGCATTCAATGCCAAAAATTATAGCAACCCGTGTAGTAGCAACTTGATTAAACATACCTTTTTTGCAGTAGAATTGCTGTTGAGCGGCAGTGATCTGAATGGAAAAGCTTTCTAATTCAGAAGCGCAGCTCTTCTTTGGTCGTGGAGTTTGTACAATGATTTGAGGTGGTGCAAGAGAAGCGCTCATACTGGTTGGAAGTTTCTGAAAAGAAAGATATTCTATTGATATTTTGATGGCTCACAGCTGTACAATGAAGCGAGACGAATATATAATCGAGAAATGAAGTGCTGGAAGAGGAAGGAAATGCGTATCGGTGGACTCAGCAACCGCAATAACTCTCACGCCATGTAATAGATGGAATGTGTAGAGAAGAGGGATTTCGAAGGTGTTTGGGACCTTAAATAACGGCTCACACGCACGCTATTAGACATTCTAGCGTAGCCATAACATATAGGAATGCTACTTGATTGAGTGGTAACTGAAATTTTGCTAGAAGATCCATGGATGTAAGAGAGTACATAGCCGGATGGCATGCAAGACGAGCACTGAGCAATGAAATGATCCTCAAAAACATTGTGAGGGAGGAGGGATGAGCTTATAGATCTCCTTGGAGGATTAGCAGAGTCGAGAGGATTAGCGACTTAGGGCACTACATGTGAACATTTTTTCAAGATTAAGAGCTGTCATGGGACTTCCCGCATATCTTTGATTAATTTTTTGTCGGCTACACTTTGTGTAGTTTTTTTGCTGTAAATTTTCAGATTCCTTATTTCTTGAATTCGTTGGGGAAGAGAGCTAAAGGGAAACATTTGTAACTCCCCTGTCTGTTCGCTTCTTGCACCACATGTGTCTAGCTGACAATTATTTGTTTCTAATCTGGACATAAAATGGATATGGATACAGTAAAAGTGTTGTTTTACTTTCATAAAAGTCATATATACATCAAGATTTCATTAAAATTTGAAAAAAGTAAAGCAAATTTCTTTCATCTTTATTACTAAGTAGAGAAAGTTGCATATTGTGTGAATGTTCATTAGGTTTCTGAAAATTATGCTTATCAATCAGATGTTAATATAATCTTTTTCTCCTGACAATCGCATGAGACAACTTGAGACATGAAAAATAGACTAATTTTCTAGTGCTTAGTGAACGGTATTGCGGCACCGTGCTTATGGGCTAGTCATGCTAATGACCACATTATGCAGATAAAAGAAGAAGAAAGAAACCAGATAAAGTTTGGTTTAAAACAAAGCTTCTGCAAGACTTGCTGGTCGAATAATTCCAAAGGAAAGAAATCAACACTTTCTGTTGTTGTTCAGAAAGCAACATACATGACGCCGTAATAAGTGCGAACGATACAAAATAAAACGAAAGAATAAAAACACATTATGTTGATTTAACAACAAAGCTTTCAGGGTCTTTGCAGGTCTCTTTGATAATTCAACGCATCACTGACCACATTCGTTCAACAATGGAATTTTTATTGGGACAATGACAAAATTTCCACTATATAAGTGCCCAAACATCTGCGAGCGATTGTTTCTGAAACGAGAAAATTGCACTCAAATTATTTCCGGCACTGGTCACTGGTCTCTTGAAGGCAGCGTCCAATTTGCGAAACTCAAACTTACTCAACACCCGCTATGACTAGAAATGGAAAAATAACTAAAATTAAATTTTCAGGCTTGTGTCTTCAGCCCAATCTGAGCACTGGTAAACCTCAGACTGTTGAAGAGACGACTTAGCGAAATTTCTTTGGCGCATCGAGAGATTTCAAGATTTCCGTTGTCTGAAATAACACTAGTTTGACAGATAATGCCAGTGGTTACATAAAATCAAGGTACTTCTCCGTTATCCGGACCCATTTTTCAAAAGAAAGATAGTGCTTTTATCCTTGTTACATATTTCTTCCCAGCTTCACAGACAGAAGTGTAACCTTTTACCACGTGTCAAAAAAATTTGACATGTCTTCTACATGTTTAACAGGTTTTACCAAAAATTTGTGTTACATTACCTAGCGATGTAAGTTCAATCTCTTTTAAGCAAATTGACCTTTTTCGATCAAACAGTTTCGAAGTGAACAGTATCATATCAGTAACGACATACTATCATCGATAAACAGCTTAGACTTGCTCAGAACAGAGATGTGCGCTACAACTCTGCCATTTAAGAGGCGAAATTAGCAGCAACAAGGTAGTGCGAGCTATCATTTATAGTCTTTTCGGCTAAATTCGCATGGCGGAAAGGGTTTGTAAAGAAATACAATTCTGAATCACCGCTGAAAGCAAACAAGATGTCTTAGAATATGTTTATGATTGTTTTGTGCTTATGTAAAACAGGGTGGCGGTCAAGCTGAACGATAGCATGTGCCAGCCGCCAGCTGGGTACCGTACGCGGTGCGCTGGTCGCTCCGCTCCTGTTAATTAGCCTAGGAATGCGTTGCAGCTATTAGAAAACTCTTTAATTCTTCGTTCATGCTTCTTCAGTAGGTTGCAATTTGGATAACAGTAGATTTCAAAATTTCAGTTGAATTGAAAATCAGTTTTCAGATAATTTTTATTATAGAGTTAGTTCGCAAGCTCTTTCTAAAGTGTAGGTTATTTGTTCCTAGAAGGCTTGTCCAAAATGTTTTTTCATTGCAGGTATGAGGAAATTGTTTCGAAAATGTTTGGAAAAGTGTTTTTCTCTATTTACATCTGTTACCATATTGAATATGCTTTGATCTGCACTCTCAAGTTCAGTTTCAAAAAAATTCAGCTTATGAAATGAAACACCATTATATGTTTTATCGGAAAAGTAAGTTTCAAAACCCTAATCATGACTAAAAACAGATTTCATTGCGACGAGAATTTAAAACAAGCATTATAGACGAATTTTGTTCCAAGCGGACTAACTCGTTCTGAAAATATGCGTCATACATGCGTCGTCACATAAATTTTCTTAGGTTTCAGGAAAATCATACTGCACCTATATATTTCCGAAACGCCTTAAATAAAAAAATTCTTTTATTTTGCTTCCAACAACTGCTATCCTCAATATAAATCGATCTGTAACTCAGTCGAGATTGCGTGTGAACTAGTCGTAAGATGTGAGGTCACTCAGACAATCATGCCTGAGGTGTTCTAGATGATTTCACACTTCAAAGTTCAATATCCAGGAGTCACTCGGTCATTCATAGGTAAACCAGCAAATCTCTCGAATTTCACGACCAAAACATCAGCTGTTCATTGATTGCCAAAAAAAGAAACTAAAAATCGAAACAAAATTCTGCAAACAGTCAAGCTTCACCCCAGCTTACAACAAGCTTATATCTCACTATAATAGTTATTTTTACTTGACATATCGTCCGAGAAACTCGTCCGCCGCAGTAGGGCGGAGCTTCGAGCGAACAGTTATTGCCAGTTCATGACCCCGCGCGCCACTGTTACCATCTATCGTTCATCTTGACATATACCCTGTAAAACAATTGAACAGCTTTAAAATGATTACAAATTGTCTTTTATCTCACCGGAAATGAGTTCGAAATAAACATGTCAAAATGGAGCAAAGTCAATTTTTTCGGACACGTGGCAGTCCTCGTAGATTCTACGAAAAAATTATTCTTATTGTTAGACTAAAGAAAACTTACAACATGAGAGCCTTTCGAAAAAATGGGCCGAATAGCGGAAAAGACCAAATACAAAATTTCTAAGTAGAAAATGTAAGAATGCAACAAAAGCAGTGCTCTCTTCAGTTCTGCTTGATTCTAGCTGCAGAAGAGCTTTCTTTTGAGGAAATCACAGAGTGCTCACCTTAAGCCCTACAGTGCTTATTCAAAGCGATAATCTCACTCGAGATAAGCTTAGTTTTAGACTCAAGCTGAGCTTTGAAACAGCTGAGTGACCATAATCTGTGGATGGAGGATTGGACAATGAAACTGGGATTATGCTGTTCCAGACTTCTCACTAATTCACCAATTCAGATCGAGGGAGTTCAAGATTATTATCATTATTATTTTTGTTAAGCGACCGCCACGAGTGTTATTTCCAACGACTTAAAGAGTTAACCATCGCTGCTATTAATACAACAAATCAAAGGAGCCGAATCTATCAAAACTCATTCCAAAAAAGATGCTGAAAGAATCATTGAAATTGTGGAAACTGGCGACTGAAATCTTTCGCTATATAAGAAAGGATAATGGCGCTTTTGAACCGGAATTGATGTAGAATTCATAAGAACGTATTACCCTATTATTTTCTTTATGTCTTTATTACGGCAGTATTTTTTGCTGACCGATTTGTACATACAGATTAACTGAAAAAATTGATTGCTTTTCTACAACACTTACCTAGACAAAATGCTTTAGCAAAAAAGCTAGGGTTGCAACTACGTAGAAACATCGAAATGGATACAATTGGACACATTCAAGCACAGTGCGTACGTTTTCCGGAAGAGCACTTATTGAAGAAAGGGGAACAAAGTAAAGATAGAGAAAGGGGAACAAAGTAAAGACAGTGCATCATATATAATAAACAAATTAGAAGACTTAGCTGTAATGATAGATTATCGAAAGTTCTCCTCAGAAAAGGGTATAGCAGTTTAATGCAAAACACTCTCTGCGGATTCTTTTAAGTCATGAGCTCTCACTGGCGAGATTGCCTGGCGTGTTCCCTAATCTTCTCAAAGCAAGCTGCTGGGGGGGGGGGGGGCAGTGAGCAGGTCTTCTTTCCATGATTCGATTAAGGTCACCTAGGAGAGTAACAGCAACTGTATGGTTCAAGTGTGTTTATTGGTACACCATTTGACGTAAGTAAGCTAGCAATCAAATAAGAGAATATGACATCAAAGTGCAAAGTTTTATAACGCTACCATTACTTTAAGAAAAAGTAGTCTAAGGGTACTTTGAGTACAACAAAGTTGTAAATTTTGTTTAGGACTAAAACTTTTTACGAACAATAATCAAGGTTTGCTGGGAAAATTCCAAGTGAGAAAGGTAATGGCAGCTGTGCCAGCTTAGTTGTTCCTTTGTATTCATTTGAGAATCTCGTTTGTAAAAATTAAATAAGACTCTCCTACATAAATGCAAATACAACACACTAAACAGTGTAAACTACAGTTGTTAGATAAGTACACTTACGTTTTCAGCTAAAAAAGAGAAAAGTGACGATGTTGGCTCCAAAAGCACGAATGCCATGGTAACGCTGAAGTCAGGAAAGTTTCCGCAAAAGAAGGTTGCTAGAAAAGTGAATCTAAGCCTGAAGCTGTGGTTCAGTTACACCTTCAAAAGATTAAAATCACTAAGAAACCCCGCCAAAAGACATAATTCAATACTTGTTGTCTCTAGATTAAATTAAACGCTTTTGCAGCTCATAACAACACGGAGCTAAAAAATATTATACCTCAGCAATTTTCCTAATGATCTGATTGGGCGCTACATACGGAAATAGAATATTTTTGAGTTTTATTCTTTTTGCTTCCCATTTGTTCTCATTTTACACGATACCTTACCTTACTATTATATATTAACGCACCTGTCTGAAACGGAAATAATTAAACAGAAGTTTAGATGTTTGATGTGAGCAGACGCTTTTTCAAAACTCGGGTTAGACAAGTTGTGCATTTTTCTTGAAAATGTCTACCAAGTAGCGAAAAGCATAAAGCAATTGAAATCAACTTGAAGTGTTTTGAATATATATTGTTGCTGTTCTTTTTCAATGCGTTCAATTGTGCACTGAGAATACTGACGTAAAGACACAAGCTTATTTTCTTAAAGTTGTAGCAAGCAAACCACGGCTAAGTCTAAGTCATATGATTCAGATTTTGAATGAATTTTATTAACATAGTAAGTAAGGTTTTCCATTCACAAAGGCAGTAAGTAAAAACTACCATCGAAGAGTGAGTGCCAATGGGGCTCGCAAGCTGTAAACAGCAAGTCAAAGAGAACATGGACAATTGCTTTTGTGCAACGATGATGGCTGTGTTCCGGTCGCTAGGAGATTGCGTCGAGAATGGGGTTTGTCCGCGTAGGTACTGCCTCCCAAGTGGAGGACGTACAAAGTGCACGACTTGATGTTTCATTAACATCTGATTTCAACTGCAGAAATTCATGGTCTGAGGGTTTTTCTATAGAACAATTGGTGATGGACCTAATTGGGCTAACGTGATTGTGGCTGATTCAACGCTTCATAAAAAGATTTTGAGAAAGTAAAGATTCGGAGTTGCATAACATTTCGCACCACTGATTACTTTCTGATAGAATGCATGATTACGCAACAACCTTCGAATTTTAAGATATGTTGTCCAAATGTATTTGCATGCGTAAATCAAAAACAGACTAGCTGTGCTTCAAAAATTAGCTATGTGCGTGATTTCATTTGTATAAATTTATTCGCATTTTCAGCAAATGTTTGAAATTTCTCATAGACCCAGCGAATATTATCTATCAGCTATTTTTCTACACTCTAATGGGTAAGTTTTCCACAGCGAAATTCTTGACGAAAGTGTGCATATACTATCTATTAGTGATATATGATTCCTTTGTAGTCTCTTCCTTTTTGTTGTATTTTTCCAGGTAAGCAAGTTAGCGCACAACCTATTGAGGCACAACACTGTTTACAGTTTGTGAAAAGTGACCGAAAGCCCGCCAATCGGTCATATCGTCATATCGGTTCGGAATGGCAGTATGCATCCAAAAGACTTCAGCTCAGCTTGACGAGGTGCAGCTTCTGATATCGATTGCCTGTCTGTGTATTGTAGGTGTAGTGTAGGTAGTTTTCTGTAAGTTTTCACGAATCTTCTCAGATTTGTCTACGGTGAGTTACTCACTTTGATGATCACAACATCGAATTCTGCTGAAAACTTACCAATTACAGTATGCCTATCATACCCAGGCAGGCACTCTTATATATCAGAAAAGGCGGAGGCATCGAACTCCTGAGCCTAGATATACAAGTGAATTTTGCAAACAACGAAGACATCGTTGTTTTACTTTTCACTACACTTTTTTAACTTCAAACCATAAGCGATTAGTGTATTAATGATGACTAAAAAAGCAAAACGTCCCATTCCTCCTACAAGAACTTGCTGCCCTTTGCCATTTGAAAATATGCTTCCCTCACCGTGGCACGCGTACTTCTTTAGCTGTTCCGCGAGTTCACCGGCAGAAATTGTCATTTGTTTTTTGAGAAGGGCGATCTTCATTGCTGATTGTCTGCGATCGCTGTTGTTAAAAACCAAACACTTTATCGGTCGCTATTCGGCCTGTTGTGTCACTGTTCATCGTGGCTCCACACAGTCTGCCCTACTTTCTGTTAATTACCCAGTATCATTGCTATACATAGTTCATCTGAATTTCACGTCATCAATCTCATGAGTGTTATTGGTGTTTTATCCTCAAATAATGCGTGCACAGTTCCGTGTTTATGTTGATATTTAATTTGTTAATGAAGGTTTGGTTATCCAACTTTGAAGTAATCTCACGTGCACAACTCCATAAATTAAAAGACACCTGGCAACATTGAGCACCGATCCCAATTCATTATACTTATGGTGACTACGGAGACCAGCAGTATGGTAATTACGGCGGTTATGGGGAGGCAGGTTACGGAAACTGGCGGCGTCGCAAAACAAGGCTACAGTAGTTATGAAATGCAAGTATATGGCAACCAGGGTTACGGTGGCCAGGGCTATGATCAGCAAGTTTATAGGAGTCAAGCATACAGTCAAGTGTCGTACGGCGGAACAAGGATATACTGGAAAAGCTTGTGGAGCCGCCTATGGCAACCAAAGGACAAGAGTATGGCCAGCAAGGTACGGTAACCAATGCTACGGCCATCAAGCTTATGGACAGCCGTACAACAATTACGGAGCGCAATCTTCATAGACAACAGTACGGCAATAACGTGAACGATCAAGAGTGCAAGCTTATGGACATCAACCATACGTAAGCTACGGTAAACAGGTTACGAACAGTAAAGTTATTAAAAGTGTATGGGACAAGCTTATGGACGACAAGGATATGGCGGCCAGGTATATGGTAGGCAGGCATACTACTATGAGAAATAGGATGAGATTCATTGCCATAAACATTTGAATTCGATTCTGCTATGATATGATGCAAATCTCTTGCACTTCCACCCATTTTCCATTCTTGACGATCATTAGAACATGTTTTTCTCTGAAACTGGCAAGTTTGTTTAATGAACTTGCGATTTGCACTATATCTGCTTGGTCTCAATTTAATAAGCAATTGGTAGTACGCAGAGACTGAACGCATCTGCGTCCGACCAAGATATTTCGTGTTTTTGAGGCTCCGGACGGCTAGAGGACTGAGAGTGCGGTTAGCCTGAGAGACAACGTCTGCACTGGCGCCCCGTCTCTGAATACGGTGTATCGCAGTTACAGAGAAGCCTACACTGTTCTCTACCTCAAGCGACTCCGTTGTCCAGGTACTTTATAAATAACAGGCTGTTAATGCTAATCTCCATAATAAATCCCAAAAAGAAATTCGAATTTATAAGTAGCATCAAATACATGCATCAAAATCAAATCTTCGACATATGAACTACCATAGTTCCATGAGTACAAGACGCACCCTTTCTTCTGAACTTAACAGCCCGAACACGCCAAAAAACTTTCACCAAAATAACCTCTACCGTGCTCCGCGCGGCACAGTGGTGCGACCTAGCTGCTTTTTAAAAAAAAAGCATCTTGTACTCGTGAAATTAGGGTAATCAAAAAACGGCTCACAGTGCTCTTTACCGTTAATGTAAGGCGAATGCAAGAGGAACAGTCAGTGACAATACTATAGCCTAATTCATTATGTAATTTACAATCAAGGCTCCCTAGAGTGAGTGAGATAAAGATACATAATCCAGCTTGAATGCTTATCGGACATTTGGGCAGATCATTAAGATTATCCTTCTTTGCTCAATTCCTCGAATCATGTGTTGATCTGGTATTTGCTTGAAAAGAGGGACTAGGCGATGGATTTCGAGATGTAGGCTTTCCTAGAAATTATAAGATCGTTTTCAAATCAGTCAGTACGAATGACTTCAACCATGGTTACGAAACATTGTACTTTGATAGAGTTTTGGACCTGGTGTAGGGTCAAATCTTTCCATGAGTGCAAACACTCATGCCTTTATTCTTTAAATATAATTTTTTAGAGGATATGTCTCGTAAGTTGTTTAACTTCATTTTATAATCCTTCTCTCCAGCTTCACTTATAATGAGCCAAAAAGAGAACCACGAAATTGCGAGAACCATTCAAGTACATGTACAGGGTGGCCGGAAAGTATGGGCGTTACAACAGTAATATAACTTTTTTCTGAAATACTTTATCATGACGGCTAATATGCCCTTAGCTTATGGACAGTCTCTATATTAAGATAAGTAAAAAGCAGGCAAACTGAATTCATCTGATGCAAACGGGACGCCTGAGTCTACTTTCCTTTGAGAGGCGCTGCGGCGCGTTCAGTTAACACCATGTTTATAGTACTGTATCTTATTTTAGAGAGAAAATTTTTTTGCTGTCACGGCACTATGTTGCTCCTCAGACTGTGCTCTACAAAACCTCTGGTCTTAGAATCTATTCGATTGATATTTGGATTATTTCAAGGGATTTGCAATGGGTACATCCTTTCAAGTAGCATTTTTGACGCATCAACTTCAAGTCAAGTTGGTGAAGCCTGTATGCATGTGCAGGAATCCAGTCTTGTAGGAGTAACACACTAAGATGCCTTTGTTTTTGGCATGCAAAAATAATCTTACAGAATTTCGTTTGCAATGAAAAATCATCGAACGAAAATGTGACGCCCATACTTTTCGGCCACCCTGTATATTCGTGTAATTATAGAAGTACTAGGAACTACATGGCCAAACTAACCAACCAACTAACTAACTAACAACTTAACTAATCAAAAATTATTTTTGACCGTATTAGCCTTTTAGATCTATGGTTCCCCTCACTATATCAAACAGTGAAGCATGTAGGCGCTGTAGGATTTACGGAACAAGGAAGTGAGTTTTGTAAATTTTGTCTACACCTTCAAGTCTCCCAGGTTTCACCAGTTCATAACACAGTAAAGCTGCGACCTCATAGACATTGTGGGGAACTGTAAATTCCAAACGATAGTGATAAGTGGTTTGAGATTATCCTTGAGTGGGGAAGACGAAAACGTTCTGTTTGTTGATCAAGATAAAATTGTCTACCAAGTCAACTGACTACTATAGAACGTTTCCAAACTGTGAAGTCTGCGGCAGCTTAAGAACAGACTCAATTGAAATGTCGGTTTTTGTTTTAAGCACACATAAAGGTTTGTCATGCAGTTCGCAGAAAGGGGGAACAACATCACTTGATTTTTTTCACCAAATTCACTGTACGTAATACAGTAATCTTTAACCGTATGCGTTATTTGAGCTCAGCATTACAATGCCAAAAATCATAGCAGCCCGTGTAGTAACAACTTGATTGAACACACCTTTTGTGCAGTAGAATTGCTGTTGAGCAGCAGTGATTTGAATGGAAAAGCTTTCTAATTCAGAAGCGCAGCTTTTCTGTGGTCGTGGAGTTTGAACAATGATTTGAGGTGGTGCAAGAGAGGCGCTCATACTGCTTGGTAGTTTCTGAAAAGAAAAAATGTTTTGTTAATATCTTGATGGCTCACGGCTGTACAATAGAGCGAGACGAATATATTAGAAAAATGAAGTGTGCTGGAAGAGGAAGAAAATGTGTCGGTAACACAGGAACCGAAGTGTCGCGCCGTGTAATAGATGGAATGTGTGGAAAGGAAGGGATCTCGAAGATGTTTGAGATCTTATATAACGGCTCACACGCAACTATTAGACATTCTAGCGTATTCATAACATATAGGAATGCTACTCGATCTAGTGGCAACTGAAATTTTGCGGAGAGATCCATGGATTAAGAGGGAACATAGCCGGATGACATGCTAGACGCTCATCTGGCAATGAAATGATAACAACACTGTGAGGGAGGAGTGAGCTTATAGTTTATTCGCGAAGGATTAGCGGGGTAGAGAGGATTAGCGTACAGCACTTTGTGAGGGATTTCTCTCGAGATTGAGCTGTCATGGGACTTCTCCCATTTCCAATTGATTTTTCGATTTTGATTACACTTTACGTAGTTGTTGTGAACTTCCAGGAATTTTCAAGTGGACTTCAATTTAGTTCGTATAAATCACTCGAAAATGACCATTTCACTAAAGTGGCCCAATGTTTGGAAAACTCGACAGCTGACTTGATCCTGAGTGATCTTAGAATAAATTCAAACGGCTCAAAGAGTTTTCCATTGCTACTATGACATGAAGATCGAAGGGTCGTATGCAAAATCTAACAAGGTAAGGCTGAAAACTCTTTGGCAACTGAAATTCTCTATTTTAAAGTATGACGAAAGTATGACAACTACAGCGCTTTTGAACGCAAAGTAGGTGCAGGGAATACAAGAGCGCTGTGTGCAAGTAATATTTCTCCTTTGTGTCCTATATTTCTTCGATAGCGGAAATGTACCACAAATTTATTGAAAGAAATTGAATGTTTTGTTGCAGCATTTACCTAAATGAGGTGCATTACCGGAAAAACTAAAGTTGCAGCGATGTAATACCGCTGGAATGGATATAAATTAGTAGTCCAAACACATCACGTCGCTTTTCTGGAGGAGCACTTATTAAGAAAGGGGAGCAAAGTATGTGAACATACTGGAAGAGCACTTAGTTGTAATGAGGCATTTCCGACAGTCCTCATAAAAGGAAGTCTAAACGTCTAAAATCTGCATTTTCTTGCAGGTTAGTGATTGAGAACTTTTCGGAAAATTGTCTACGTTGTCTTTCTCACACTAAAAAAGCTGTGGTACTTCCAGTAGTTCAGTTCAAGCTCAGTTGCGAGAGTGACAGCGAATGAACTCGTTCAGCTGTGTTTATAATTTCCCCTTTCAATACAGATTTACTCACCATCAAATGCTAAAGTGAATTTAAAACCAGAGAGTAAAGATTGAACTCTACTCTTGGAAGACTTAGTGGTCTGAGAGTACTTTAAGAACAACAGAGTTATAAATTTTGACGTTTCAGGAAGAACAATCACTTTTTACGAACAACAATCAAAGTTTGCTAGTACAATTTTTGAATAAGAAGGGTATTGACAACTGTCAGCTACGTACATTATTACTTTACAATCAATTAAGAATCAATTCAATCAGATAGAAACTATGACTTACCACATAATTGCAAATACAACACACTAAACAATGGCAGTTCATGAATAAGTACACTTACATTTTCAGCTGAAAAAAGCGACAATGTTGGCTTCTAGAACAAGAATGCTATGGTAACGCTGGAGTCAAGAAAGTTTCCTCAAGAAAACAATACTTGAAAACTAAATCTAAACTTGAAGCTGAGGTTCAGCACAGCTTCAATAACTTAGTCGCTCCGGAACCCTGCCAAGAGGCATCCTCTCAAATGGAATAAAAAACCTTTATCTCCAAAAAAAATCTTGTTGTATCTAGATTGAACTGAACGCTTTGCGGCTCAAAACAATACGGAGCTAGAAAATTATACCTCAGCAATTTTCCTGATGTTCTGATTGGACACTACATATAGAAATGAAATGAAGTAGATTTTACCTCGACTTTGTTTGCTTGACCTACTGTAATTTTTTACGCACCTGTCTGAAGACGTGATAGTCAAACAGAAATCGAATGTTTGTTGTGAACAAACGCTTTTGCAAAACTGGGTGTTAGCCAAATTGGCAGTTTCCTTGAGAACGTTTACCAAGTAGCGAAAAGCATATAGCTATTGAAGATAACTTAGAGCGTTTTGAGCGGATATTGCTCCTCTTTCTTCAAAGTAGTTGCTTGTGCTTTGAGAATACAAAAGGAAAGACACAAAAATTATTTTCTCACATGAAGTGTATCAAAAGGTAAACTGTAGCGAGAAAAACAAAACCAGCGTGCCCAAGTCATGTGACTAAAATGGATTCTACTTGAATTGGCGAAATCTTTTGCGAGCATAACCACTATAAGATTATCGGAGATACCATGCATGTATTATAGAAGGCAGTAAGTAAAGATTATCATTAAGAAGTAAGTGCCGATGGGGCTCGCATGCTGTAGACCAGCGAGTCAAAGAGAACATGGACAATTGCTTTTGTGCAACGATGATGGCTGTGTTCCGGTCGCTAGGAGATTTCGTGTAGTGCAAATTCCCGTGTAGGTGGTTCTTGCCAAGTGGGGAAAATGTACAAAGTACACAACTTGATGTTTCACTAACATCTGATTCCGCCTGCAGAAATCCGTGATTTATTTATTTATTTATTTATTTATTTATTTAATACACACAAAGGTGTTCCAAAAAGCAACAAAAAATGAAAAGCAGTGAACAAAAGCACAAGCAGTCGAGTCTATCGCAATTCTCTTGCTGGAAGGACCAGGTCGTTCTCCTTCGTCAAGAAGTGAGTGAACCTCCTCCGAAGTTCTTTTCCCTTACCCAAACGCGGTAGGAAGCCGGAAATTACCAGGGCTTGGCTGACCAACTTAACTCTAGGCGGACGAATCCGTCAGAGACCCTGGGCGAGTGGGAAGGGGGGACCTCAAGGAAGAGGGCTCACTGGTCTCTTCGATCTCCTTGAACAACTATTCCAAGCAGAGATGGTTTCCAAGAGATTAGTACAAGAGAGAAGGCAGTTAATGTGCAAAACAACAGCCTTGATCTGGGAATCACCAGTGGACCGACTCTTGGGAAGAACTCGACATGCATGGCTCAATCTCCAAACAAGGCACGTAGAGCTGACAGAATCAGTCATCTATTTGCGCGTCAAAGGCCACATACGGCGTCAAAGCGAGGCCGTTGTTACCAAAGACGAAGTCAAGCACAATTTTCCACGAATTGTTCTGCCAGATTCAAGAAAACACGCAATCAGTAGTTGTTCCAAAAAAAAAATACAAAAAAAATCCAAAAAATCGACCAAAACTTATTGAATCCAAAAAAAAGCCAAAATGCCGTGTATCACACTACTGACTGAGTGCTAAACCTCAGGTATTCTCAAAGCCTGCAGTACATCTATTGATGACAACTTTCTACGAAATTCAGCCGAATTTCTGCAAGAAGTGACCTCAAGTGGTAACTGGCTGAGCCATCTAGCAGTACGGCATGCAAAAGAATTGAAAGCCTTTGAAAACAACTTTTCCCCCAGTTTACGGTAACCTAGGCCAAAACCACCTGTTCTGTCACAAAGTCGGATTATCCAGTAGCGACTTGGTGTCAATCTGGTCTCAAGACGCAAAATTCTGTAGCAAAATACTAGGTCATTACATACTCTTCTGTACTTTAGACTTCGCAACTTGAGAGTAGATAGCCTAGGATTATAGGGTGGCAAAGACCTAGGGTAACTGGGATCGGGATAGCATCTGTAGTAAACAATTCTAGTGAAAATCTTTTGCACTTTCTCTAGTTTGTCAATTTTCTTCTTCAAAATGGGTTCCAAACAGGGGATGCATATTCTAAATGCGGAAGCACGTAAGTCTTATAGAGTCTAACCAGGAGCATTGCACCATTACTATAAGTAAATACTTCTTAGTATGACAAAAAGGGCTGAGAGAGCTTTCTTTGAAATAGAGTCGAAATGAAGAGAAAAATCCAGTTGTTTATCCAAGACAACTCCTAAATCTTTAGTACTACTACAATGCTCCAAGTTGACCGCGTCCAAAGCATAAGTGAAGCATGTAGAGTTTCCAAGATGTAAAACTTTCGTTTTTGAAGCGTTAACTGGAAGATTCCATTTTCTGGACCACAAGTTCATCCTATCAATAGCTGAGGATATTGCATTGTAAGCTTCAAGCTGCTCTTTACTTTCGTAACAGAAATAGATTTTGATGTCGTCTGCAAAAACTTGAATTTTGAGATTTGAATGAGTTTTCAGAAAAGAAGGTAAATCAGCAGTGTAGGTGAGAAAAAGAAGCGGCGAAAGTATGCCACCCTGAGGAACTCCACTATCACAACAAATGCGGCTCGAAAAGCTATTACCCACTCTGATCGTCATGCCCCTATCATGAAGATAAGAGGAAAACCAAGAGAGAACCTGACCACGAATACCGTATTGCTCGAGTTTCCAAAGCAGTTTAGAGTGATTAACTCTATCAAAAGCTTTGGAAAGATCGAAAAATACGATATCAACTGATTTGCCATGATTCAGTGCGCTAATCCAGTCAAACAAGGAATCAGTAAGCAAAGCTGTAGTAGATCCTCCAGGCAGAAATCCATTTTGAACAGAAGGAAAAATTTCTTTTTTATCTAGCCAATCGAGTTGGCGTTCCTTCATAAATTTCTCGAGAACTTTACCAGAGTGTGCCATTATACTTATGAGACGGAAATTCGAGATGAGATTGTTATTTTCACGCTTGGGAATAGCTGTGACCAGCGCTTCTTTCCAAGCTCTAGGTACCTGTTTTAATGATAGAGACGCGTTGAATATTAGTGACAAGGGGAAAGCTAGAGTGTTAGCGCATTTGCGATACAAAATTTGCGGCAGACCATCGTATGCTGCAGTAGTTGTAGCCTTGAGTTTTCGCAGTGCATCACAAACTTTTGCAGGATCAATGA